CGCTCACTGGATGCAATTGAAGGTCACTGGTCTAATATTCACCAGACCTTACTAGCAGCAGGAAAATCCTCATGTGGTATGTCTAATCACCAACATGGACATTGGGTCTCTCCACAGTCTATGGAACTTATCGATGCTCGTGGATATATTCCGGCTGGAAGCGAACACAATGCAACTTGTAAAGAGCTCAGGGCAAAACTCCGTGCTAGCCTGAAGAGAGACCGCGAATCCTGGTGGTCTCATCGTGCTTCAGAGATGGAAATGGCCGCTGCTCTTGGTAACCATCGTAAGTTATTCCTTCTGATACGGGAAACGCGCAAGCAGATGTGTTGTTAGTGATACTACACGTGACGAGAGTGGACAGCCTATCCACAACTTATAACGACGCTTAGTGCGTTGGGCTGAGCACTTTAAAAGGCAATTTAATCGGTCGGAATGGTTAGATTTCTCGCCGGCCACTGATCGCCACGCTCCCTAGGCTGTCCTTTTGGATCCACCCTTTCGCTCAGAAACCGAACGTAAGATCGCACTATTGAAGTTAACTAAAGCCGCGAGACCAGATGATCTTCCTCCAACGCACTTCAAATTCGGGGGACCTGCTCTTGTGGATGATTTACACGAGTTACTAGTGAAAGTGTGGGAGCAGGAAACTGTCCCAACCGACTGGAGCCGCTCCGTCATAGTCCCAATTTTCAAGGGAGGCTCACGATCGGAATGCGGCAGCCATAGAGGAATCAGTCTGATCTCCATCACCTCCAAATTGCTTGCTTCTGTCATCCTTCACAGACTGACTGGCACTCGTGAAAGCCATATTCGTGATGATCAAGTCGGGTTTCGTCGAGGTCGTGGCTGCATTGACCGCACCTTCACTTTGCGTCAGTTGTTGGAGCACCGTCACATATATTGGCAGCCCATCGTAATCGTGTTTCTGGACATCAAAGGGGCCTACCCCTCGGTTGATCGATGTGCCCTTTGGAATTGTCTACTCACGAAAGGTGTACCTGAGAAGGGTGTGAATATTATCCGAGCATTGTATGCGTGTAGCTCAGGTAGAGTGAGGGCTTACGGCAAGCTGTTGGCGCCCTTTAATATATCCAGCGGCGTGAGACAAGGATACCCGCCGTCACATTTCCTCTTCAACTTCGCTATTGACGAAGTCATGGAAATCGCGTTCACAGGACACGACGTAGAATGTGTGGATCTGCTCCCAAGAGAACGACCTTTCGACTTAGAGTATGCTGACGATATTGCCCTAATCTGTGACAGCTCACGAACATGTCAAGCGGCAGTGGACAGATTAGCACTAGCTGTCCGTCACTTCGGGCTTTGCTTTGCACCCTCGAACTGCAAAGCGTTCCTCCAAGATTGGTCTCGACCGCCTCCTACGCTGACCGTTGGTGGGGATCAGCTAGAAGTCGTTCAAAAATTCAACTACCTGGGAAGTTGCACCAGCGCCTGTGGGATTGAAGATGAAATCACGAATCGTATAGCGAAAGCTCGAGGCGCTTTTGCTAACCTTCGCCACTTATGGTGCCCGCGCGATGTCACTCTCGCCCTGAAGGGTGGAGTGTACAATGCAGCGGTGCCTTCGACCCTACTGTACGGTTATGAAACCTGACCCCTTAGATCTGCGGACCTGAAGAGGCTAGTTACGTTCGACCACCGGTGCCTTCGCAATTTAGCTCACATCTGGTGGGAACACCGAGTAAGCAACGAGCGTGTTCGACGCTTTGTTTACGGCACAGGAAAAGGAAATGAACCGCTCAGCACCGTCATTCCACGCACCAGGCTCCGATGGCTTGGCCACGTGTTACGCATGCCAGCCCACCGACTTCCGCGACGTGCGTTGTTTGCGCGCCGGGAATATGGATGGAAGAAGAGGAGTGGTGGCCAAGCGATGACTTAGTCGAGAGGAATGAAGGCCCTCACTTCGAAACTGGCCTCGGTTGGAGCGTCTCGGCTCCTTGGTTGGGGTCCGAAAGACGATGAACACGTTTGGTTGGGCACACTTGCTGATATGGCTAGGAGCCGACCTCAGTGGCGTTCGTGCTGTAAGTTTCTTTGTCCCACCCCATTCCTCTTAGCCTCCCCCTCCAACCACGATCTCATTATTTAGCCTTATACAATTTTGCATAGTAATTTTTTTGCTGCATAGTAGCCGGCTGGTAGCTTACCGGAACGATGCCCATTCGGTACCGGTAGCTCAACTGGCTTGCGCCTGTTGCATTTTATTCCTGTCTTTCTTTTATGTATTGCGACACAGTAGCTGATGTGTTTCCCACCTCTACCTAACGTTTATAATGATATAATGATGATGACCTGGATGCCCTGCGCACCGGACCATCACTCTTGTCCTAATGACACAGCTCAGTTGGGTAGGATTTCGGCCGCCATGTACGATGCAGGAGCATCTGCTTGTGGTTCTGTCAGTCATCACCACATCAGTCACTGGATATCCGAAAGGTAGGTGAACCTGTTGGAATCCGGAAGAAAATCCAACTGGCTCTGAACACAGTGTAGCCAAAGCTACTATTAGGCGCGAACTAAATCAGAGCATGCGCACTTATACGGAAACCTGGTGGACCGGTGAGCTCAGGAAATCCAGAAGGCAGGAGCAGTAGGAAATTATCGTAACCTCTCCCAGTTGATCCGCACCACTGGTCCCAGGAAACCAGGCGTCAGTGAGACGAAGCGTGGGTTGACAGATTCACAATAAGGAGCGCCGTATGGCTCATTCGGCGGAGCACTTTCAAGATTTATTCCCTTATCCCCATGCTTTTGGACCTCTTCCTACTCAGTTGATGCAGGATGAGCCATGGACGGCTAGTTTGTAGGTTCCATCGGAGGCTGAGGTCCGAAACGCAATCACAGCTTCCATTTGTTGTCGTGCTGCTGACCTGGATTCCTTGCACTCGCACTATTTAAGGATGGAGGTGAGGTCCTCTGCAAAGCACTGATCTCCCTATTCGAACATGTCTGGAAGGAAGAGACTGTCCTGGCTAACTGGAATGGATCGATTATAGTGGCAATATACCAGAAGGGAAGTCGCACCGATTGTACCAAGCACAGAGGTATTAACCTAACATCAGTTGTGACAAAATTACTGACCTCAATTTTCGTTCGTCGCCTCAATGCGGAGCGGGAATCCCCGATTAGGGAATACCAGGCAGATTCCAGCCCAGGACGGGGCTGTATAAACCACATTCACTGTATCAGGTGCTGGAGCAGCGCCACACGTACCGACGATGGCTATGTTTCTGAACTTCGAGTGTGTTCATTTGAGTCGTTCGATGCATTCTGTTCGAGATACTTCTGCGGAAAGGTGTTCCCGTGAAATATGTAATCATAGTACGTGCCCTCCACTCGAACACCACAGACCTAATCAGGGTCCAGGATGACCTGTAGGATATTTTTCCAACAACAAGTGGCCTTCATCAGGTTCATCCAACTTCCACATTTTTGTTCAATTTCGTCATGGACTCCATCATAGAGTGTTCCCTTGCGGAGCCTCACAATGCGGCGTTCAGGTCCTGCCTGGTGAAAGGCTAACTGATGTTGATTATGTGGACGATATCGTCTTGCTGTTTAACAATGTTGGGACGGCGCAATCAACCCTGGATAGCGTCTCAAGAGTGTTCCAATTTATTTGGCATGCGCTTCGTACCTTCAAAGTGCAGTTTTGCTACTGGACCACCAACTACTTGATGATCCCTTCATGTCGAGGAACTCGATGTAGTTGCTCACTTTACCCACCTTAGCAGCTGCATCAGCAACGATGGGTGCATAGAAACCGAAGTTAGTTCACGTATTGCAAAAGCTAAAACTGCGTTCTTGAATCCGCGACATCTGTGGCGACAGTAAAGGGTTTCCCTCGGTCTGAAAGTTGTGTATACAAGGCCACAGTGAGGGTTGTCCTACTCTATGGGAGTGAGACTTGGCTCCTTCGATCGGAGGACCTGATGCGCCTTCAAGTCTTTGATCATCGTTGTCGACGAATCGTTGCTGGTGTCGGATAGCACCAGGGTGTCCACAACAATGATGTGCGTAAGCGACTGCTAGGCAGTGCTAATCATGCTAGTTCGTTAGAACAACATATAGCACTAAATAAGTTGCCTTGGCTTGGACATGTATTACATATGCCCACTCATCGCTTATCGAGGAGGGTCTTGTTTAGCCTGCCAGATGTATGTCGGCGCAAGGCTTGAGGTGGGCAAGTGTTGACTTGGCAGCGTGCAATGACGTCACTGACGACCAAACTTGGTGCCGTCGTTCCGTCTCGCCTTTCAGGCTGGGGTCCACGTGACTCGCCTTGTGCTTGGCTCGACACTTTACAGGACATAGCTCGCAGTCGACACCTATGGTGTATCTCCTCGTAGTCGGACTGCCTGTTTAAAGTGTGTTTGGTGCTGAGTTATCTGCGGAGTAATGGCTGATTACGACTCAGGGCATTGAAAGCCACAAGGAAACCGTCTCGTCGATGCCGCCTTATCGTTGCACAATAGCCAGCTGTTTGTGACGGTATGTTGTCTACACAAGGTGTTGGCGCCTTGAGCCTGTATATTTGCATAGGTTATTAAGGTCTTCCTGTAAGTCCTCCTCTCCTTCTTATTCCTCATTCTGTAGGTCGTTATGGTCGTATGGCAGCGAAGCATCAGTTCAAACGGCCGCTGTAGTGCTGTTGTTGTTGGTGTTGCTGCTGCTGGTGGTGCTGATGGTGATGTAGGCCGGTGTGCAAGAGGTTGGATAAAACCGATCTTTAACTATGGAGGTGTCCGTCGCATTTGCTATGTGAGAAATGTCTGATTTTTAATGTCAAGTAGTCTGAATTTATGGTAGACTGTTATTGACTAAAGGAAATGTGCTAGTGCTTTTACTTTTGTTACTCCGCTCCTACCTTTGACAGAGTCTGGTGTTTTTTTGTCCTATGAACTCACCGTTTAAGTCGCTCACGTTCTTATAGTCTTGGTTTGCCATAAACTTTTTTCATTCTTGTCTTTTAGGTGTATCCCGCTTCTAATTTGCTGAAGAGCTCATCCTTCTCTAAGTGGCAATCAGAAAAGGGAGGTACTAAGCAGGAAGCTGTTGAATTAAGTGTATGTCGTTCTGTTATTTCTACTCATTTTCGTGCTTCTATACTTGGTTCAGTTTGAACGGCCCGTTGAGATATCTCGTTTGGACATTGGCAACAACGGATCAGCATTCGTTGAAGTGCTTGTCAGAAGATCAGCTTCGTCAGACGAACCGACGGTACTCACTGTTTTCTGGTTGACAACTTTCCCTACTGTATACAGGTCTTTTTACCGTCTTCCTCCTTCATGTCTCCCGTTGAGGCAAAAAACGGAACTAATCTGAATCGCGTCAGAGTTTTTAGTGGTAATCAATTGCTGAGCACTGTTAGCAGCCAAAAATGGGATACATTCCGTTTTGTCTGTACTCAGCCCTTTAACAAAAATCTGCAATATGGTTTATCTTTCGTCAGCTTCCATAGTCCTGCTCCAGCGAGCCCATCTCGACAGCTGTCTAACTTAGCGGTAAGCCTCATATATCCAATGCGCTAAACTTCAGAAAACCACGGGTCTCCAAACTACCAATTGCATTCTCACGGAGGAGGAGGAGGAGGAGGATGCCACTGCTTTTCAGCCAGGAGCTTTGTTCCGGGCATCCAAGACTGTTGTCGCATCGGATACGGTTGATACCTCCCTTCAGAAGCTAGTCTCAGGTAACCTGCTCACCATCTAACTAATCCGTTCACTTGTTCGTCGGACACATCGGTTTCATACTGATCCTCAACTGCTGTGTCGCACTGTGGCACAAGCACATGGTACATCGGCCAGACAATAAACAACGCATTGAATATAAAAAAAGAATGAAAAAAATACTCGACTTCACTGCAATGAAATGACGGAAGCTAGCTAACAACAAGGAATTAGGTTGGTGGGAGAGGCACATCTCTCGTTGCACAAGTGCTACCGGACTGCCTGCTTCGCACTTGTTTTTTTGCCCATCGGTATAGAAGTCTAGAGCGATCTACCGTTGGCCGCCAACTAATCACCAGGTGCCCACTCATTTTTTTCACTCAGCACCCGCTCACTCGGGTGGGATGCGATTCGGTATACTTCCAGTACTACAGGCAACTCAACGGTTTCAGTTCCATACGTAAGATGGCACGCCTCAACGCGTCATCAGTATTACGCTGCCGTACGTACAATTGGTCGTTGTCAAAATGGTTTATCCACTAATGGATTTAAGCACAAAGGGCACTAGTAGTCAAATATTATCCGTCTTTCTTTACACCTTGGTATGACAGCACAATGTTCATGGGTATTTATCGAGAGAAATCGGGCCACTAGTTTTCAAAGTCTCTGTTGGGGGAATATTTTCCTCTGTGTTACCGTACCGCCGGACAAGCTTCTCAAAGGTGTCTTGGTCTCTTATTGGTCCTAGCTTTACTGTTTGTGTTACTCATCATCCATTCCACCCAGCACATCTCTAGCGCAAGCGCCGATGCATTACCCTGTGATCTGAAAAGTGCGAAACTTGCAAAAGTAAACTGAACAAAGCGCCGGCCCGTAATCTTAAAGATCGCAGTCTGCCCGTAGCCTTAAGGATCACAAGCCTGCCTTGTAATCCGATAGCGCGGGCCCGAGCCTGCGTAATGGCCAAAGAACCCTCGCAGTATCCTTAACCCACTTGCAGCTGGGGGTGGTTACGCGGCAGCGAAGCGTCGGTACTGCGCACCGGCCTACTGCTGTTGTCTGACTGTCTGATCGACGTGTTTGACGATCTATGGCTTTTTTCCAAATCCTGTGGTCGGTCGCAAACTGAATTGATGTCATCCTCATATTCCAATTCTAAAAGTTCATTGTCATGCTTACCTCTACACCCTCCACCTCGGATTCTTCACCAAACGCCCATTTTCATCAGCCTCATGTTTATTATGTAAAAGGCTAAAGTACTATTTTCTCATGCCACTGGTGCCATCACGAGTCAGTCGCTGTTCACGAACGCCTATCATTCTATCAGTGGTGTGTGACTTTCGCATCTCTATACTTACCTACTCGGAGTGTTTTCATGCCGACATACAGTTAGGATGTAGTAACTCAAGGTGCTGATGACTCGAGTTAGTTGTTTAGATGTTAATATGCTCACATAGCTGGGCAACACATTTATGTTGCTGACGACTGTTTCTCTTCTGAGCATTGATTTGTCCCAAATACATATCTTTATAAATGTGATGACACCGTGCTGCACATTCGCACATGTACTCCGCACCTTCAGGGTGCGAAGTACTGTTTCATAATAGAGCCGTCGCACTACTCCATCATCGTCAAGAAACCACTCGAGGTGGCCGACCGGTTATCGTATCTGCATAAGTCTATACCTTATAAAAAATACTAAAATAATGTGTCAGCTATACGCCGTAACGGCGCTTCGCTGCCGCGCGACCACCACCAGTGGCGCGTGGATTGAGTATACCGCAAGGACGCCCGCTCCTACGTGGATTCGAACCGATGACCTTATGATTGCAAGCTAGGCGTACAGACCACTCAGCCACCGGCCGATGTATTCCTTACGAAGGTAGTAAACCATCATTTTGCCGACCGAAAACAGCGTTTTTGGCGCTGTAAACTAGCCAACGTTGTTACCTGATCCAGAACGTTACTTGTTCATTGAAGACATTGGTAGAATGCTCATCTTCGATTACCGCTACGTTCTAGGCATTTTTCATAACTGATGTATGCTCCGGGTTAGTAATACTAATATCCAGCAGTTGGAGCTTGATAGTGAACCATCTGGTGCCCCTTTAGATCACCTTTTGTGTTTGCGCCGCTTATGTCTTTTAGATCATGTCTATTGCGCATCCCTAACTATCGCGTATTAGGAGTATACCGCATACCTTTTTGTATGAAGCTTCCCGGTATTGAACCAATGACCATGACAAGGGAGTATTAGCACCTTACTCAGGGTTTAGTCGGATCGCTTCTTCTGTCTTCTCGAATAGTATCTCCGTAGTTCGCTACGTTATTGGATGGCAACTCTGTTTGAGTTAGTGCCTTATGACGGTCAATTGTGCTGTTACGTTCTGTCCTAGATCCAATTCACTACCATTTCCATCCGGCCATCTTGGGTTAATTCTTCCTGTTCTTTCATTTTTTGTTTTACTGTGTTGTTTCAGCTGGCTGATAACAGGCAACGTAACCTTCCGCATCCCATCGCTTGGATCATTGTTAATAGACTGGACTGTGCGAACGCCCGATGTGAACAACTCTGGTGCAGTTTAGAGTCAAACACTTCATCCGTTCTTTCGAATCTTGAGAATGTGCTCTTTTTAAATGCGGGGATTGTCACGACCTTATTCTACTGTATTTCAACAGTTCTTCTTAACATATTTCCTTCCAATTGACTAAATATGTCTCAAATAACTGTTCTGAACTGAGTGGCGTCCAGAAAGGGATCGCCAACTTTTCCTACAATGTCTATGTGCCTCAGTGAATACCAGTACACTCGCCCTGGCAGTATCTCAGCCCACATACAACCATGACATTTTTTCAAACATAAACTTCATCCTGCATCGGCCGTCGCGCAGATTATCAAGGGTCGCCTTATCTGCTGCATAAAGCAGGGCGGATAAGCGAAAACATGCTATTGCTGGCGCCTGCCTTCTTTCTTTTTCACCTGTTTCTCTTGCTCCCATCCCGACCCCCATTACTAACCTTCCTTCTATACTTCCCAGCTTAATTTACAGCCACCGTAGTACAACTGGAGTAGAACTATCTGCAGCCATCTTTCCACAGCACCCATCGGACACCTATCGACAATAGTCTCTTATAAGGCTACGCTGTCCCGTTTTCATGGCGGCGTTCACCGTTCGCACTCTAAGAAATATAGGTCAACAGGCTGCACTCGCATGCACCTTGGATGCACTCACCATCACCATTATACACGTTAGCTAGAGGTGTGAAAGTACCTCAGCTACTGTGCCGCAATACAAGAAAATAAATACAACAGTTTCATGCCAGCTGAGCTACCAACAACGGATGGGCATCATTCCGGAAAGCTATGTGTCCGAAACTAGGCCCAATAACCCTAATGGGGTTGTTGAATTAACTGCACCCGACTTATCCTCTCGTTATTGGTTGCACGCATCCGGAGACGCCGATGCAGCACCCACGGGTCAAGCTGGTGTAGGTATCATTCTAAGCTCCAAGTCTGAGCCATCATTGCTTGATTGGATTCCGGTGAACAGCCGTTTATGTGCTGCCCGTTTGACATCAAGTAAGGTTGATTCACGAAGTAATACAAAGTGATACATACCACAGACCGACAATAGCTGTGTTCCTCGATTTCAAGAGTGCGTTCGATTCAGTCGATCGATGTATTCTGTTCGAAATACTTGCGCGGCAAGGTGTTCCCACGAAATATGTGAACATCCTACGTGTTCTATACTCGAACACTACAGGCCGCGTCAGGATCTATGGTGACCTGTGTCGTGTTGCTCTCCGGGAAGCTCGAATATTTATGTAGTATATACGCTATTTACAACAGCCCGTTTCAATGGCTCATCCCTGTTATTTGCATTATGTCGCTGCCTCCCTTTCCATTGGTTTATGCTTGCTCGTCACGTTCACTCTGTCTAAAATCACCTTGCCTTTCTTAGTAGATGTACGATTGGCGGGATTGGGCCCCCGCGCTTCTTCCTTCGGTCCCATGCCACAACCCTTGGCTCAAGTGTGCATGAGTCTGCGCTCCTTCGCCTGCTGGCGCCTGATTGGTCACTTGCACGTTCAGTGAATGGCTGCAGGCTGGACGCGAGTACGGGCCAACTATTTCCTGATTAGCTGACCAATCTGCTTCCGGCAACATGCTCACCCCCTATCGGTCTGGCCTATGACGTTCGATCGACATTGCAGCATTTCCAGCCCCCATCACATCCTTTCATTTTTCGTTTTTAGCTTGACGTTGCAATATGTTCCGTATTGCCTACCACTTCGTGTGCGTTTAATGTCCTGTGCTTGGGTAGCGGTATTCCGGTTGTTGTTTCTGACCCTCTGTCTGCGGTGTCCACTTCTGATGTACTCTTCTCAGCTACACCTGATTCCGTCGAATTAGATTGCCCCCAATCTTGACTTCATAACTCCCCTCTCCTTTCCGGCCTTCGGTCACTCCTTTCCGCCAGCATCCACCGGATTCCGGTAATCGTTGCACCCATACTTCTTCTCCTGTACCTAATGGTGGGAGGCTTTTCGATCAGCGCTTGTAGTACTCTTTTGCCTTAGCATTCTTTTCCGTAGTCGGTCGTGTAGAACATCGGACGGCGCTATCTCGAGCTGCAGTAGAGTTGTAGCGGTCGGTATTAGCATTCTTGTTTGGCGACTGAATAGACGCTGTGCAGGGCTCGCTCCGATATCAGTAGATGGTGTATTCCTTCGGTCCAGTAGCATTATGAAAAATGAAGAATGAATTTATACGGGTTAAGAAGCGTTGCTTAACAAGTCCCGTTGGATAGTTGCAGGGGATATCAACATAACAATAATGATAATAAGGATAGTAAAATAGTTAATACTTTAAATATGATAATAAGGACTTATCGTTTGCTTCGTTGTAGTCCTGCGATCCTCTTAGATTCACAGCACTCACAGTTAACAACAAATAATTCCATGGTAAACTCCAAGTGTAGGATGGAGACGTAGTGTTAAGTAACAAAGTGTAAGTGGATGAGTGCATCGTCCAACCGTCTTTTAAATACCGTTAGTGTCGGTGCAGAGACGACAGATTCTGGGAGAGCATTCCACGGGTGACAGACACGAATGGAAAAGAAATTTCTGCGGCACTCCAGACGACTGTATTGTTCTGCGAGTTTTAATGAGTGGCCCCTCAGGTTTGTATTGCTGCTGAGTTGCAGTAAAGGGCGGCACACATGATGTGGGTCTCGCAGAATCAAGTATGCCATAATCAGGTCGCCTCGTAGTCTACGATAGCTTCCACTGAACAATCCCAGTCGTTGCAGCCTCTCCTGATAGGAAAGATTGCGCATTCCAATTACGTTCTTAGATGCCCGGCGTTGTGGCTGCTCCAGTGCATTAAGGTCGTGTTTCAGCCATGGATGCCAGGCTTGAATTGCATATTCGACATGGGGGCGAACATACGCACTGAGCAGTTGTCGAAATATGGAGCTGTTTATTTGTCCAAACGCCCGCCTCAACAGCCCCGTGTTGGTTTCCGGTCTTCGAGGCCTTTTCGGATTGCCTGGAGCAACCCAAGTCATCTTGAACCAGGACACCCAAGTCACATTCGAGAGTTGATTGTTGCAGTACATCCGTTCCGAGTCGGTATGAGTAGCTGCTCTGATGTCGGATGGAAAGCACCTTGCATTTACTGACGTTGAAATGCAATAAGTTTTGGGTGGACCATTGATACACCGTATCTAAATCACTCTGAAGCACATATTGGTCGGCGTTCGCCTGGATCCTGCGTCAGATCTTGATATCGTCGGCAAACATTAGGAAGTTTGAAGCGATTCCCTGTGCAAGGTCATTAATAAACACCAAAAACAAACATGGACCTAGAACTGAGCCTTGCGGCACACCACACTCGACTTGTATGGGGTCCGATAAAGAGCTCCGAACTCTGACCACTAATTGCCGTTGAAGTAGAAAGTTGGCGATCCAGCTTAAAAGAGGGTCTCCGATCCCGTAATGCTGCAGCTTGGAT